CAGCAATTCAGGTCAATTGATGATTGTGTTGAAACACAACCAACACCATCAGATCACCTTTTTTCATCTGGCTGTTATAAGTCACAGACAACAGCCAGACAAAATCTGAAGTTAAAGAATTAAGGGTCAAGAGCCCAACTAAACCAAACACTAATCTCCATAATGCACAGCAAATTTGAAAGTGTTAAATTAACACGCACAGTGTGAAAATTAACACTTTTTCGGAGTTTATATAGGTCCACACTAAATCGAGTTAAACTTACACTTTAAATAGTGTTACTTTTTTTTACACTTGCTTAGTGTAAAAACAACACTGTTAGTGTTCCCCGTTAACACCATTAGTGCCCCTCATCCCTCATTTACACCAAGTTAGTGTTGAAACTACACTGGGTGTGTCAATATCTTAACACCAAGAGATTAGTTTTAACACTAATATTGTGTTCATAAAAAATCCCTGATTAAGGTACTAGTGTAAAAAAAAAATTGGGGGAAAAAAAAGTGTATTCAGTTAAAGTCAACACGATGTATCAGTTTGAAATTTTATTTTCAACAACAGCTGCAACAATTACACCAACACAGAGGATGATACAACATATTCGCCATCATCTGACCCATATAAACACTGCAGATCAAAAGGCCTGTAGAACTTCAAGCTGTTGGCTTTTACAAGTTCACTCAACTCACAGTATCTCTGTACTTTAAATGCATGAAAATGTTCAGAAAAATGTTCTGTGAAAAGTTTGTCAACAATAAAATACACAGTGCTGTCAATGAAAAGTATTTTCCGAATCTGACTGAAAACAGGAATTTCATCCTCGATTTCATTGCATACAATGAGGTCTTGTCTATATTCTGTCCCATCTATTTTGACCCAGTTCATGGAATGCATACTAGTTTGCATGGGATTCTGTAGCATTCCTGCCAACTTTTCACCATTCTCAACATCATTCCAACAAAATGATTTCATTGGTCCACACTCAACTTGACTAAATGGTGTTGTTTCCCAAAGATAACCTATTGACATTTGATGACTTTTTGCCAGTGATTTGGTGATATTTTTGAAATTCTTCAGTGTATTCTTAAAAACTTTATGCTTAGCCTCGAACCTCATGCTCCACATGTGCACTAGCGGTCCAATTTTGCGAATACAGGCTGGATAATGCACCATAAAATGGTGTTTGGGCAGCAACTTTTTTTGTGGGTACAACTCTTTAAATAATTCATGGTGCTCAATTGTTAAATACTTCAGGAGGACAGTCATGCCTTTAGAAATACAAGGGGAAAACACCAGGTTTAGAATTTGAAGCAAGAGCAGGAGCAAATGCCAATTTTGATCACCTAAGGGTACAATATCACCAAACAGCAAAGGAATGTTTTTGACAAGACAGAGTGCCTGGATAGAATTAAGCCCTATGGTATTTCCACTGTGCTCTAGATTGACTTTTGTTGGACGATTTTTTCTCTCCAAATATCCATAATCATATGAATATATTCTGGAGAGCAATTCACTCCGTGTAACAAATTTTTCTGAAAGATACTCAAACAGTAGTTTCATTTCAAATTGCACAACTCCTTCCAGGAGGTCATGCATCACATCTAGAGAGTAGTTGTGGCACACATGAAAATACTGCAGGCTATTGAGTGTTGAGCTTCTTTTAAGGCCATGTGTTGACTTAAGTTGAGGGTCAGATTCTAACTCACTGCAGTGTTGGTCATAAATCGAACGATCACGCAAAACAACCCTGAAATCATCTTCATTGTGAACTAACTGGATATCATCTTTTTCAGTTAAACACAGACGACAGGAGTAATGTCCACTAAATGATTCTGTGAACCCAAGTATTGAGTGCATCCCCAAGTTGTCTCCAATTACTTGACATATTGTGCCATAAACTCTACTCATTGATATGGGTAGTTCAATACCATCTGTCTCTAGAATCTTTATGTCACGAATCAATGGTTCCAAGATGGGGTCAAAACCATACTTTTTCACATCTTGCGCATGAAATAGAGCAATCAAATGGATATTCATCAGTCTCGAATTAAATTTGGGAGGTAAAATTCGAAGCACAAAATAAAGAGCACCAACCTTGTGTACCCCACGTTTAGAGCCAAGAGGGTTTGCGGTTTCAAAGTCATCGTAATACACCTGAATTTGTAAAGCATTGGGATGTTTGGAGAATAATGGATGACTTTGGAAGTAACTTCCATCACAAAAGTCCTCAAAATGTGATTTCGGCATTCCTGTAAATTCTCTCAGCAGAGTACATACATCTGCATTTCGACACATAAATTTTAACGTTTCCAAAATTGGGACATACACGAATGTATCTTTTACTGGGACCTGATCATAACATCCAGTCTTTTTGTTTCTCCTCATGTCATACCTCATGCCAAGCACAATTTCAACCGGCTCCACAACACCCCATTTGTCAACAAAATAATTAGTTCTTTTAGTTTCAGTGTTAAACATGGAAAAGGGACTCTCAAAATGCTCTAAACTATCTTCGACAGCTGATCTGACTGGGTTTTCAAGAGGAATGACAGAAATCACATTTTGACGAGTTTGGCTATGCAGTTCAGTGGTGAGGTCCTCAAGGTCTGAAACAACTGATGATACCAAGCTATTGGCTACTCCACCGCACTGTAATTTGGCCACAATTGAGGCACATATATCTGCGGTTTCTCTCCTGGAAAAGGTAACATTGTCAATGAGAGCAACTTGGGGATCACTTTCTCCAACAAACAAAGAACCTGACTGATTATCATCAACATTTTGAGATGACAGTTCACCAGATGACAATTCAAAAGCGGGACAGCCATCAACAGCATGAAAACGGTTCAAATGCTTTCGAAACCCAGAATATGAGCAAAACTGCCGACTACAGCCACTCTGCGCACACAACAACTTAAACTTTAACGAAGGATAAAAACTGTGTGTGACTCTTAAATGAGCTATCAAAGAGTGGCTGTTTGCATGCACACTTTTACAGAGGAAACACTGTAACATTTAAACTAATTTTAAAGCTTTGCGTGCAGTTCCCTTACTCTTGGAGACTCACTTGAAAGACCAACATCGATGTTGTAAACTGTGGTCTGCAGGAAGGTAAAGAAGTTGACCAGGGACTCCTCGTAGGATAAGTTGAAGACATAGTGAACTTTGAAAAGTTCATCAAAGGCACTTAAGGAGCTGGTTCCAGAGCAAGGGATAAGGCGTTTGTCTACAGCGACGTAAAAGTGGTCGATCCTGCCCTTGATCCTTCCTGATCCCAGTAGAAATGGCTGGTGGCCCTCCCTCCCACTGAGAAGGCCTTCAATACTGGTGCAGGACTGAGGAGGAAAAAAAAAAAAAAAGATTAGAGGAAAAAAAAAATTACATATGAAATAATGCATTAAACTTGGTACTGGTAACTTGTTCACATAAAATTGAACAAAGAGAAAAACAAACAAACAAAAAAAAAAAAGCCACCTGACACACCTTAACCCAATTTGTGCCTGACAAAACCAGTTGTTATCATGCTTTGTACATTACAACCCTCAGCCACCAAACCAAGCTATGTGACTGACTTACTTCATTAGAACAAAGAGTTGTACATGGAAATCGGAGATCTGTAGGTCAATAGAATGCAACTGAATGCATGCAATTAGTTAGAGACTCTAAAAGGGACAATTAAACAAGTCAAATTATGCCAGTGATTTTCAATCCCAGTCCTGTGGGTCATTGGCTCTATGCATTGGATGTCTCCCTCATTCAACAAACCCGTTCCAGCTCTTCATCTCATTAGGTACGAGCTCCACGAACTAAACTGAAGGGTTAATTTCTCCCAAAACTTAAAATGTATTACACATGCTAGGGTTTTTCTTTATAACTCAATATTATTTGTTTGTATTGCTGAACCAAAGAATTATATTTTGAAGAATTTGTAAACAGGCTGCTTTGGCCACGAACTTTCTTTAAAATATCTTCCTTTGTGCTCAGCAGTACAAAGCAGGTTTGGAACAAAATGAGGGTGACATTTTTGGATGAACTATCTTTATGCTCATCAGGTCAGAGAGACAAAATGTGCAGAGGGTTCAGTCCCAAGGACCGCGAATGAAAACCACTGCATTTTAGGGTTTATAAGTTATAACCCCAATTTTAATTGAAATGATCACAATGACTTTAAAATGGTATTGTAAGTGTTACCTTATGGAAACGCACAAGTCTGTCAACAGCCTCTGTTGGACTGATCTTAGTCTTCTTCCTCCCTGGAGGAGGCGGCAGGAGATGCAACAGCAGCAGGACAGATGACATGTCAGGGTCCCAATCTGAATGAGTAGATGTTTTGGGATTGGTGGGCGATTTAAGATAAAACAAAAACAAACGATTTAGTGCTCACAACAAGAAACCAGACCAAATATAAAAATTATGACATCCTCACAAATCATGCCAACCATTTTCAGATCCTTGTCCACCTGCTGCATTGAGAAGACTCCGCATTTCTGCTGTTGAAGTAAGAGTCTTGGCTTCGTTGATGATCTTTCGCTTGAATGCCGTCTCCCACCTCTTAAGAAGCATGTTGGATGTTTCAGCATTGAACAGCAGAGCAAAGTCCTGGTTTATCTAATGACAAAGCATATTACAAGGTGGCTAAGAGGTTACTTGGCACTTTTTCATCATTTACCACCAAAATGGATAGTGTGCACATGTTTTGATAGACTAAGAAATCATGAATGTATATTTACTTGAATTCTTACAAAATCTATCACTATGTTTGAAAGGCATGTACGAGCAGTGTGATAAATCTATGAACAAATTAGTCAAATTAGCAATTATGTTAGTGTGATCTCATTTGATACAAATAAAATAAACCATATCTAAAACACACTTAAAACAATCTTTGAAAAGTACAATAAATTTTATTTACCAATCCTTTTACATCCAAAAATCTTGGGAAAACATCAAGGACGTCAGCTGATCTTTCAGGATTATGTACCAGTTCTTGTCTATGCTTAAACATTTCCTTCATCTTCTGCATAACTTCAGCTTCATCAGCTGTGTGGACAAGGAAAGAAATTGCCTCTCTGCATGCATCTCCTTCAAGTTGTTGCACATCATCTATCCTCCTTCGTCGACTTGGTCCCGCACTTTCAGTCATCTCCAAGCGAACACGTTTTGGGTTCTTCCTCGACAAAGTTTTAAGGCGCCAGGAGATGAACCCCGTTCCCTTTTCCGGATCATAGAAATGCTCCTGTCAAAAAGAAAAGAATTTAAAAAAAAATAAAAATATGAAGAATCATCATGACACAGATAGACATTAAGAGAAACTGTCATTACATGAAACAAAAAAGGAGCATTTAACTTCATGTCAAACTAGATCGTATTTCAGTTATATCAATACAAATGATTCTTACATAGCCCTTCGCTGAAAATGGGTCTTTCAGGCTAGGAAAGAGAGAAATAATGCCCAAAGCATAAGTTTCCCGCTGTTTGCGGGTGGGAATCCTCCTGCAATGTAAAAAAAAAAAAAATACACAAGGTTAAATGGTAAACTTCTACATCAATTGACAGCTGTGTGTATTTCACATCTGGGTGCATTGAAATCTTTACCCATGAATCTCTGTCATGTGACTGACAACAATATTAACAAGCTGACGTCTGGTGCTGTGCTTTAAAGTCTTAGTTGTCTGGTATTCTTCAAGCACTTCCTCACCACCTGATTTTTTTTCCAGTGCATCTCGGACAGTCTGATTAAACATGACCACATACAGGTGAACACGAAGACTAATAAAATGGTGAAAGTATTATAAGGACAAGTTAACCACAAGAAAAAACCTGTATACATACCCGTTTTGCCTTTTCAGCGTCTATGCTAAAACTGTTGCTGACCATTGCTGCTTGATTTTGCACTGCTCTCTCTGTCTCTTCATGGTCAGTTGATGAGAGTGATAGAGTATCAGTGCATGTGCTGGGGGTTGAGGATCTTGTGGGTGAAAACTCTTGACAGGGAAAAGCAAAACAATTTTAATGTTTTCTCTAAAGACATTAAAAAAGGCTTTATCAAAATGTTATTCACTTCTGAAGCAAGAATTTAATCAAATTAAAGGGTTAGTTTAGAAGAAATTAAAATTGTCATTACTCACCCTCAATACTACCAACCCAAAAGACCTCCATTCATATTCAGAGACAGATTAAGATATGTTTGATAAAATCAGAGCTTTAACCATCCATAGTAACAGCATTGCAACTTTCAAAGCCCAGTGCTGTGCTGCCCTGTGCTACATGGATAGTGTAGTAGAAAGACATGCAAGAGAAGAGATTATTGAATAAAGTCGTTGTTTTTGCCCACTATTCTCGTTGCCTCATAACATTAAAATTGAACTGCTGGAGTCACATGGACTATAGTATTTACTTCCTTTCTGAGCCTTGAAAGTGGTAATTACGTTGCCGCTGAATGGTTCAGAAAGCTCTCGGATTTCATTGAAAAGGTCTTTATTTTTGTTCTGAAGATGAACGAAGGTCTCACAGGTTTGGAACGACATGAGGGCGAGAAATCACATTTTCATTTTTGGGTGAACCAACCCATTAAAATAAAATTATGGATATTTTGCCACTGGGATTACTCTGGAGTCCTAAAAAGTATGTCTCAAGTGTTATTAAAGACTTACCATCAGACAAACCAACAGTAATATCTTCTTCTGGACATCTTACAGTTAGGCATAAATGTGGACTGCCTTCGATCAATTCATGGAAGATGTCCTCTTCCACATTGGTGTCAGTGTCATCAAAGACTTGAAGAGCTGCTGTTCTTGCCAAACCAAATTTGCTTTTAACTGAAAAGTCATTTTAACAATAACAATTAAATATATATAATGTTTCATTAGTTAACAGACTAAGAATTAACAAAACGTCTATGGCATTTGTTAATCAATAGTTCTCTCTTTTAACATGAATGCACTATGAACTAAATTTAACAAAACAAGCAGTTCTACTTTTATTAACTAATCCTGAAGGTAGTTAGCACATTAATGTTAACAAATGAGACCTTTACTGTAATGTTTTGACTTAGTGGGATTATACAATATTACTATATGACTTAAGTTCATTTAAGAAATAGCACAAGATTCTTCACTTACCATCATTGAGAAAATCTTGGAACGTACGATCGCTGGGAAATTTCACAAATTTCTTTACACCTTGATACTGAACTTTAACCAGCATGATGAAAGCTGTTTGGCCAAGAAAAATGCAGATTATTAATATTAAAGAAGTTCCTACGAGCTGCTGTTGTAAAAGCTACGTTTGTCACATCACATGTGAAATTGCAGCAAATTAATTCGTAATGTCATATCTAATATCATAACACGATTGCAGATGATGCATGCTCGTCATTGTCGTCAATCACGCGTCTCATATAATGAGAAAACCGTTCATGTGCACTGGCAGAAAGTTAAGCAAAATGCTTAAGAGTTCGTTTATCTGATAATGAATGTCCGTTTTACCTTGTAGATAAGAGTAAACGTTATAACGTATACTTAAAAATACCAGACCACCGAAGCGGCGCGTTCAAAGTTCACGTTAAAAAAAATACATTCGCGCGCGCTACTACTAAACACTTAAACAGTCGGAGATTATTGGTGGAACAAGTGCACAGTTATACTAAAATATTGGAGATAAAAATGCATTACAAATTTACAATGCCTTATGCCAAAACGAATAACGTGAACACCAAGAAGGGGGAATGCCGATGCTTTGCGGTAGACGTAATTAAACAAATCACAGAAATTACACTGTCATCTATCCCAGATTCTAAAATATATGAAACTATAAGGTTAAAACTGCTAATTAACATATAAACTTTGCAACTCTTACCTCAATTTGCCAGCAAACAAACGAAAGGTCCTCGAGGTGCGATCGGTGGTCTGTCGTGTTATCTGAAAGGAAATTAGTTTAGCGCTCAGGCAATGCTGAGAAATGTACTAATATTATTCTAAATGGTGATAAATGTAAACTAAACATGAAAATTGGTTAGAAAAATCAAGTGGTTAAAACATTATACCTGATTGAACACTCCTCTCCTCGTGGTCGTCCGCCATTAATCAAAAAGGAAATAATGTGCCAGAACCGGAAATTGGATCAACTCATCGCAGTGTCAATTACGTCAACTCGCTGCAATTACGCTGACTCCGACCACAGATTTACTCTGCAAGTGTTGGTGCCATTCAAATTAATACCAGTATCAACACTTTTTAACTCTGATAATTTAACACCATAAAAACAACTCTAAACTACACTGAAAATTTTGCTGTGTACTTAACAAAAATATGTCTGATATCATAAAATGTTTAGTATATAGTTTGAAAAGAAGAATAAGAATAGAGTGTGATAGCCTAACTTGTTCTTATATATTTTGTTTTACAGCCACATGCCCCACTGTTGAGTGCTCCTTGTCATCCAGTGTGGAGGTTCCACTTACTGCAACCTCAACAAAACTAAATCCTCAAGAGGAATTTGGTAATTCACAGTGATGAATTTATGAATGTACAGTATAAAAAAAATTTTCATTCTGATACTGATCAGTTGACTTTTAATTGTTCCTTATCTATAGTGAATGATCCCTTACCGCTTTATTTTTGGATTTTCTTTACAGAAAAAAATATGGAGAGGCTCTCTGATATTTTGCCGTCATGTCCCTCTGCTGCTCAGCCTCAAAGTAGCTCTGCGTCATCATGGTCTTTTCGGCAGCAGAAAGCCTCAGAGCGCTGGAAAGAAGCAAGACCATACCACCTAAAGTGCCTTATGCCAAAAGAGGCTGTTGGTCATCCCCTGCGTTGGCTTTGCAACGAGCCTGCTGTGATTAGGTTGGTTTTCATTAGTACAAAACTTCAATTACCCAGAGTAGGTTTGCTGAGTGCCCTGCTTTATTGGTGAAGATACATGTCTTTTGATATGGGTGAAGACTTGGATACCCAGATGATAAACACATTAATGAGAAAAGTAAATCTAGGACCTTCTTGCTGTGAGGTGACAGTGCTAAACACTGATCCACTATGCAATCCATTACAATTAAATCATACTTTATAAAAGTCAAACAGCTTAACTAGAGTGTACAGTACTTTATATGAGTTATTCACCTGAAATAATGTATTATATTATTTTCTTTTCGCCCTAGGTGCAGAGAGTGTCTTCCTGAGGAGTGGTTCTGTGGGGACTGTGATGTATTGCATCACAAAAAACAGCCATTCCACAACAGGGAATGTGTGATTCGTGTTTTTTTTGAAGCCATTCCTCCGACCACATGCATCATTAAAGGGGAAGATGGATATTGCACCCATGAGCAAGGTACTTTCTCAAGAAAGCGCTTTAATTTTGTTGTTTAATGTGTGTCTGTAGACAGTTACAGATCATCTAAATTATTGGTTTTCCTTATTTTAGCCAGCTTGCATTTTGCCAACTGTAAAGGTTCCAGACTGCTCCTGTGGAGGCACACATTTCACCATGTTACCAGGCAAACCAGTGATTTTAATTACCATCAATGGTAAAAAAAAAATATATATATATATATATATATATAACTGAAAGAAAGACTGATGTTTTTTCTTTTTTTCTTCCACAAATAAAAAAAAAGATTAGCATCTTTTCAGCATTATGTCCAGTCAACACAGCAGTGTGGAATATATTGAATTAGAAAAAAATAAATGTGGGATTATAGGAACTTGTGTAATGTCTCTCAACCATTCATAATGTGCATAATGAACTAAGTGTTGTAAAATTAAGTATGTGGTAAGTGTGTATTATATTTTTAATATTTATTTTTGTTTCAAGGGCGCTTTGACTTGCATCAGCCCTGTATGAATGTCAAACATGCAAGCAGCAGTGGACCCCTGACATGAAGGACCTCCTCAGAAGTGTATATTGGCCAGCCTCCGTCACCAATTCCACACTTTATACATTGGACCTCCTGAGCTCCTTTAAGGAACTCAAGATCATTTCTCCAGGATTCTCCAGACAAGCCTTTGCAAAGCTGCTGGAACATCGCACTAAGTGTGGAGGAAGAGTAAGTGTAAATGTTATTTTCTATTAAAAAAAAAAAAAAAATCCATAAGCAGACAATATCAAAATACTATTTCATTCTATATATTTTCCAGTCTGGACCTATCAATGGCGATGCCCTGCAGCGCAGCTTCTTAGAGCTTTCTTATACTTCCTTTAAGGAAGACCAGCTCTGCTGTAGTGCTCCTTTCACCTGCCCAGCCTGCACGCCGGAAATGTTGGCAGTTTCAGCAGATGGAAACAGAAAGCTATATCGCTTTCGTCGAAACGGAAGGTGATCTTTCTTCCAGTCTTTTTATTTATTTATTTTCTTACTTCATATATTAGATGAATGGATTTTCTATTTTTCTTTCTTCCTCAGCGCTGATGATCCTGGCTTTTTTGAGGGGGTCTTTGTGGCTGAAGACAGTGCGGTGTCTAGATTTGTAGACACCATACAGAAAGCAGTGAAAAATGCAAGTTGGCAAAATAGTTGTTACAATAATAAACGTAACCCCCACTTCAATTACTCCTGCCTACCAATTACAAAATCAAATTGAGAGAATGAATGCCATATATTGAATGACAGCATTGCTTTTATTTGATTTGTCATGTTTGTTTTGTGTGTCATAGACACAAGGAAGAGGCACATGTGGGGACTCCCATTGGACAGCAGCGAGGGAAACTTCTAGGAGGGCTTCAAAATTGGATGAAGAGGGGATGGAGGTTGCTGTGTGTCGCCATGAGTTCCTTTTGAAAGCCCTTAATATGTACAGGGGGGAGATATTTGCCTACCCTCTGTACCTTCAAAGGGAGCTCATGCCAGCCAAGGCACAATTCTTTGCAATGGACGTGGCATGCAAATAGTGGCCATACCTGGAGAAAGTTGCTACTGTCCTTCCTGCTCTTCAGGAACTGACCACCATGAAACCCTTTCTAAGTGTGATGCATGCTCGAGCCCATGCTACTAAGTGTGAGGTGTGTATAATATTTTGGCATCATATGTACATTTGTAATATTTACAAGCACATTAATAATATGAAATATAAGTTAAGCTACAGTATATTATCTTGTCTTTTTGCATAATCATTTCTTCGACCTTTGATGCAAATTGTGGTTTGTGATATTGGGCTATATCAATAAAATTAAATTGAATTTCTTCCACCCTTTGCTAACAGATTAATTGGAGTGGCAGGAACCAGGAAGGAGCAGGGACAACCGCTGGTGAGGAGCAGTGTTGGGGAGTAGTTAACTACAAGTAGCGACGCTACTAACTTAACTACATTTTTCAGTAGCTTGGCAGTAGCTCAGTTGCTTTTTAAACAGTGTAGCTTTTCCAGTAGCTAACTACTTTTTGCAGCAAAAAGAATATTGGAGGATGGAGAAACAACTAAAGTTAATTACCCCTTATTTGTCCAAGTTCAATCGGTATTTTTGAGAAAATGTTCTACATGCAATTTACGTTGGATGTATATGTTGTTCTTGCAATGTTGTAGGCTATTTGTTGCAATTTTGCACTTTTGACAAACATTCTGAGATATTTGGGTGTTGTGTGTAATAAAACAATACTTTTTGAAATCATAATTTTATTGAATTATTTTAAACACTAAATGTTTTACCTGTAAAACATTTAGTGTTTAAAACAATGCAATAAAATTATGATTTCGTCCCCTTCTGTCCTCAGACACTTATTCAGTTATTAATAATATACAATGTTCAAAAAAGCAAAAGTAGTTTCAATGTAGCTAGCTACTTTTTGATAGTAACTTGTAGTGTAGCTAACTACTTTTCCAAAAGAGTAGCTTGACTGTAGTTTAACTACTTTAACTTACGAGTAGCTTGTAGCTTGTCAAACTACAGTTTCAGAGTAGCTTCCCCAACACTGGTGAGGAGGTGGAGCAAGTAACAGTTACCTCTCACGTTGTGCCCTGACGACCAAATATATGTCCAAAGCAGGTGATCCGAGTTTGCAATATTCGTGTATACTATTTTTAGATTGATCATCATAACCTCATTATTTGCTTTCAACAACACGGGTGGACATGCTTACATTGCATGCAATGGGGTGGAATGAGAAAAAAAATCTCTCTTTACATCAGGCACTTTCCACAAGATATGTGAAGGTAAGTATCATATTTTTTTTTGTGTCCTTTTGTTGTTTACTTGGCCTGTTGTTAATCATACATTTTTTAATCCTGATTATTGTATAACACTGTTCATCAGACTTGTCCCAAAGTACACAAATCTGTTGCTCTGTATCTCTGGCTGGGTAAGATTATTGGAATAAATCATCATCTCATACATCTATTTTGTAACTATTTTAAGTGTAACCATAACCACATTTTGTCATTAAGCCTTTTCAATTACAACTAATGTGCTAAATAGTTTTGATTTGGTATTGACTTTGAAGTGCTACCTATTGCAATACAATACAGTCACTGTCTATAGCAACGCTCTCCCACATATTAAGCTATTGTAAATCCACTTATTTCCATTGTTGGTATAAGTGGCAGTGGGTGGAATAG